CTTTCATATCCCTTCTTATCAAGAATATTAATAGCAAGCAAGCTCATTCTTATATCTGGAATGTGTCTGACATCTCTCAAAGTCAACATACAGCCTGGACTAGTTTGTATAATAATATCACCAATCCCAATAATCTGTGACACACTCTTGTTTCCCATCTTGATACAACCAAAGTTTCTTACTTTGTAAGTTGTAAATAACTCTCTCTTAAGAACACAATGATATGCCATTCCTGTGTTAACTATTCATTCAATATCGAGATCACTAACATGATTACAATCATCATGTGTATAAATCAAAGTAACTGAATCACTATCTGAATTCACTGCTGTAATATTACCATCATTTGAACTCTTATCTTTCTTATCTTTTCACTCTTGCTTCCAGATTTTGTAATTTTATTTTATATGACCTGTCTTACCACAATAGAAACACTTCACTTTACCTCTAGACTTGGATCTATATTTAAACTTACCACGGCCTTTTGAGTCCTAACCTCGTCAATATTTCTACCCCTATTTTCTGTGACTAGAGCTTGATTTTCAAGGTCTATATTTTTTCGTCTTGCTTCTTCATTAAGCATACTGTCATTTACCATCTTCAATGTCACCTTATAATCAGGAGCTGAATTAAGAACAGTCACAATTAGAGTATTTCAACTGTCTGACAATGAACCCAAAAGAAATAATACCTTCATTTCATCATCCATCTTAAGCTTCATAGTAATCATTCGATTAAATATATCTTAAAAATCACTTAAGTACTTTGTAACAGATCGTCCATCCCTGTACTGTAAAGTTGTAAGCTTTTTAATAAGCATAACTTTATTCATACATGTTTTTCTCTCATACAATGTTACCAATTTTTTTCAAACAATGTGAGCATCTGACTCTTACGCTACATGATAAAACATGCTGATATCAAGCCATTTTCTGATTGTAGCCAGCATTTTTCTACCTAGCTTCTTCCAGCTTTCATCTTTCATATCTGCTGGTTTAGTCGAATCATCAAATACTGGCTCATACAAATCTTTACAGTATAGATGATCCTCTATCATAGGCTTCTAAATTGAATAATTTGATGCTGTCAATTTTATCATAAAACCTGTATCACCCTTCATGATTTCAAACAGAATTTACTTTTATCCTGGGTTATTTCTGTATCGATATCTCAAAATAACCCTTGTTCTGATATCACTTGTTGCGCCTGAAGCAATAATCACAATAATACAGAAGTAATAGATAATAATCAATAATAAAAAATGCAGGAAAAATATAGCACACCAAGATTTACGTGAAAAACTCTTCAGTGTAGAGGGAAAAAATCACGGACCACCAGAAAAATCTTCACTATCAAATAATAGGTATACAAAGTTCTTCTCTAGCTAAAATTAGAGCTAATCAATAACTAGAGAAACAATTGAAGAAATCTTATCAAATAAGTGACTCAACAAATACAACCTGAATTTGTTCCTAGAGAGCTTCAAACCCGATCTTCACCTTTCAGAATGTAGAACTCTGAATCATAAACCTCCTAACAAGGTTTCAACTCAATCGGACCACGGATCGACTTCCATTCAACCAACTCTCTCTTCTCATTTTTCTCTCTACTTTTCCTGGCTTTTCTTTTTTCTCTACTTGGTTTTCGACACTCTCCTTAAAACAACCCCACCTATTTTTTATTAAGTAGCTAGGGCTTTGTGCAAAATGAAAGATCAAAGCCTATGGCCTTTACTTGGTCCAAAACCACTTACATGGGGCTGGACCCTATTTTCCTAACAAATATTACGATCAAGAGATCTTAAAGAAAATTAGAAGGAAAATTAGAACTCTTCTGTGCGAGGGTAACCATTCCCTAGCCAACGAAAGAGGTAGATATGCTCGGTTGTGTGTACAGGTTAATCTTGAGAAACCCTACCAAAATCTGTTACCATTGAAGGCTAGAAACAAGCCATTATCTATAAAGCTTGTTGTAACGATTTTAAAGATCACTAAACAAATTTGAAAAACAAATGATGGAGTTACTATTAATTTTTTTTGTTAAGCGTGATTGATCATTTATTAAAATTTATTCTTTTAATAAAAATTTTAAAATTAATTAAAATTTATTAAAAATATAATTTTTAGATTTATGAAAAAAATAGTTTGGGTTTGTGACTCAATTATACGTAAGAAAATATTAGCACCTTTAAGACGCAAATGGTACTAATTAATTATATATTATTTTTTAATATTAATAAAAATGATCTTAATTCTTGGTATTTAAAATTTAATCTTTTAATTTTTTTAAAAACATATTTTTATTTTTTTAACAAGCTTAAAAAATAAATAAAATCTTATATTGAAAATTTTCTAAAAATATTTCAATACTCTAGCAATATTAAAAGTAACCATCTCACCTAAGGAATTTTTAAGAATTACTACTTGAAATTCTTAAAAATCTTATCTTCGGTGATTCATATTTATTTCCATAAAATATGATATATATAATTAGAAAAACAAATAGTATATTCTAAAACTTATTTCTATGACATTTATAAAAAAAATGAAAAATCTTTATAAAAAATTAATCTAAATGCTCCAATACATTGACGGCATTTGAAATAGATTTTCTTATCTAAAGATTCCTAAAGAATCACTATTCAGATTTTTTTAGGATCTTTTTCTTGGAGATTTTTCATTTATTTTATTTTTTATTAAAAACCATGTAATAGTATAATTATCCATAAATATATTTATTTAAAAAACACTCTTTTTTTATTAAGACAAGCTAATTAAATTTAAAAAAATAATTAAAAAATAAAAATTTTCGTATTGAAAAGAAATTTCTAAATATTCTAATGCTTTGATAATTTTTAAAAGACTTTTCTCATTTAAAATATTTTTGAAAATCACTATTTAGACTTCACAAATCTCATCATCAAAAATTCTCATTTGCATTTAAAATTATGTAATGCTAGGCAATAAAGCAAAATATGCATCCGAAAATATAATATTTATCATTTTCATTACTCATTTTAATTTTATTTTAATCTTTTAATTGTTTTACAATTATCACTAAAACATTTGAAAGAAACAAAGTAAAAAAAAATTTTATTAAAAATTTTTCTAGATACCCAATATTTGATAATATTTTAGAAAAATTTTTCACGTAGAAATTTCTATTCAGACTTCTTTAAAATCTCATCTTCAAAAATTTCATTCACTTTTTTCTTTTTTACTTAATTAATACTCTAATTCTAACATTTAGTTTTGATTACTATTTGTAATAAGATTAGTTGATCACAATATTAATATCATATATTATTCTCAATGTATGATAATATTAGAAAAATAGATAAATAAAAATTTTTTGTATTAATTATATTTTTAAATATTTCATTACTTTGATAGTACTTTTAGAAAAATAATTTAAATGAAGAATAATATGTAAGTACTGAAAAATAGTATAAAACTGGAATTAAAAGCATTGAACAAATAAAATCGTGGTCATTAAGATAATGAATTTTTTTTATGAATTTTTTTTGAAATTATTAGGATTACGATTTAATGCGTCTTCTTAAATAATGTTCCAATGATCCGTCGAAACCCATTACCTAGATTTTTTGCTTTTTCTTTTATTTTATTTTTTGTCTTTGCAGAATCCAAAGACTTGTGACCAAAAGTTTGACATGTGTACGCCGTGGTAGTATGGTAACGCTAGATATCGCTTTTGTTGCTTTCCTTTTTTTTTAAATGTTAAGAATAGTTGTTGACCTATAATATAATATTTAATGTAATATTTAAATTTTAAAAATTATTAATATAATATTTAAATTACAAATTTATTAATTAATATAATATTTATTTTAAATATAATTAATTTTAAATAATTATATGTAAAAAATAAATAATTATTCAAATATATTATATTAATTAATGGATTAATAGTTCAAATAATTTATTAAAAATTTTTAAAATTTAAATATAATATTAATATTTTATTATAATTAATAGTAATTCCTGACATTATTTTTAAAGAAATAAGAGAGTTATTGTGAGATACTGTCCGTCTATATAAATATATATTCAGAGCGTTTCTCCTGAATTGAAATCCGTGTCTAACAGGGTGCTCATGGCATTAAAATTTTAGTCATTCATGAAAATCAGTGCACCTGTGAATGTGCTCACAAGTCTGAAACAATCTGTCCTGACCTTTTTCCAGGAGGATTATGCTCGTGAATTCTCCTCCTTGCCCAATAAAAGTGAGAAAAACCATGAATATATATATATATGTATATTTATATATGTTCTAGTAATGTCTTCACTCTCCTACAGGAGGACATTGATTCATCTGCTCTACTAAGTCAAAATTCATTGGTTTTCAAAACTTAACATTGTTCCTAGCTAGTGGAGGTCATAATTTGGCCAATAACACCAAGAATTGGTTAAGAGAGTAAAATACCAGCAAACAATGCCGGATTAGGCATTATCCAATCCCAGTGTAGGGACCAAGGGCCTAGCTTAAAGTATTGAGGCAATTTTCGCTGATTTGCTGAGCCCATTAAGAACTAGGAAAAAAAAAAAGGCTCCGACCTGCCGAATTTGAACCCGCCAACAAAGGACAGCCAACGATGTCACCTGCTACAGTCCTCTGCTCTGTCAACTGAACTGAGGTCGGAGTGCGTGACTGCTGGGGTTCGAACCCAAGTCTTCAACGACCCAACGTGGAATTCTTACCACCAAACTACACAATAAAGTGCTGCCCTCTGGCTGCAGTATTGTGACTCTCAATCTTCTCGTAACTAAATATGTAGCTTTAAGAAGGGTTTAGTGAAGGCTAACTGATCAATGTCATGGGCATGCATCTATGGGAACCGTTGCACTGAGAAATAAACAGCCACTAAACCAATATTTATACCTCAATTAACAGCCACTAATCATATCAGCTTTTCATTGTCCCTTGCATGTAACAGTCGATTAGACTCAATCCCTATATAAACTACCAAGCTCCACCAAATTTCTTCAAACATTGTCCTGCAATATCTTTGCTCTTCTAATATGGCCAATACTTTCAAGCTCTTTTCATTCCTCATTGTTCTTCTAGCTCTAATCATGGCAACGGTAAACCAGGCACGACTACTGGATACCCCAAGGCCAAGCCTCGTCGTTCGACTGAAAATGGATGCAGAATCACCAAGTTGCTGGGAGTCATTGATCCAGATTCAAGCATGTACTGGAGAGGTTATCTTGTTTTTCCTCAATGGTGAGACTTACCTTGGTGATTCCTGTTGCCACGCTATACATACCATTGGCCATCAATGCTGGCCAAACATGCTTGAAACCCTTGGCTATACCACGGAAGAAGGTGACATACTCCAAGGCTACTGTGATCATGAAACTACCGAGTCCTCCTCATCTCAACCATCATCATCGTCTGTGAAGGATGGCATGGATGTTCCAGTGAAAGCTGAACTTCCTTGAGTGGAATGAAATGATCTTGTGTTTGGTCATTCATGAATAAGTTTAAGAAGTCTTATGTTTAATATTATGGGTCATGTCTGCAATGTTTTAGTGGGTCTAGTCAGAGTCAGTTTCATGTTCTTGAAGTTGTTTGTAAGTCGAGAGTTTTTAATGAAATAATTAGTTTCATTATATGCATGGCTCAATTTTATGTTTAATTTCTTCAAGTATTATAAACCCACACATGATCTATTCTACAAATTTTGGACCGTGGACCGATTGATAATTCTGTAAATCTAATGCAGTATAGGATTGATCTTAAATTTTAAATTTTTAAAAATATGCATATAATTAAAACAATAACTTTTCTTTAGAGTCAAATAAAAATTATAATTACATAGTGGAAATAAATGAATCCACATTACAAGTAATATTAAAATAAAAAATTACAAATATTTATAGGTTTAAGTTTTTGAATTCAAATATTGTAATGAACATTTCTATTGACATGCAATAAAAAAAATAAATGATACAAAGAAATAATAAAAAAAAAACTATGCACTAAAAATAAAAGCTATTTTTTATCCAAATTGTATTATATAATATTTTATATTGTGGACCATGGATCATTCAAAAGTATCCGAATCACCCTCAAATCGATTCAAATCCGTCCGTTCAATACGGTCTGCGAGTGATCGTAGGCCTTTAAGGTCATGAACAATGACTTTGCGTTAACACGAAGAAAAGGCACAGCAAGAAGTAAGAAGCTTGTTGTGAGTCTTTAGTGGAATTCATTTTCCACCGTGAAAATAGTAATTGCTTCAAATTATTATCATGAAAAAACTTATGCTCTTTGACGTTCAATTTCACAAACTCTCTTCCTGAGGCTGGCCCGCCTTTTCCAAATTACTTGTCATTTGTGCAACGCCAATTAATAATGATCCTAATGATGTTGGTATTTCGACCTTGAAAGCCCACTAAACTAAACTTGGTGCTGTCATACATATGATTCCGATAGATATTTCCTACAAGAAATTTTTGGTGCTATAATGAGGTTAACATATGATAGAGTTATAGATTTTTTTTTTTTTTAAAATGCCAAACTTGTTGGTTCGAATTATTTTATATTTAAACATGTTCATAAATTGAATATTCCTAATTAATTTTTAAAAAATTTATCCCAAACTTCATTCCGTACCGTCTAGAGGCCTAAGTTAAGTCTGAACCCACAACTCATGTCTAAACCTGGCCCGAGCTAAAGCCGGGCTACTCTGTGGACAGGTCTAATTGTGGCCGTCATTTTAGATGTCCATGCTCCAACGTGGCCACTATGGGTTACATAGTGATATATGATAATACTTACATCACATGGCCGAAGGCATTACGCTCGCGTTATCAATAACTTAAATATTTGGTACTTTTGTTTTTGGCTTTTTGTTATTTATCTTTTATTTTCAATTATTTTTATTTTTTATTTGCTTTTTTCAAAAAAAAAAAAAAAAACAACCAAATAAATCTTTAAATTTACATAGTGACTCACAATCACACACACACGAATAAGAAGATTGATCAGTACTTTGAATCTATGAACTCAATCAATTATTACAATTGGATTAGAATTATTTTAACAAATAAGTTCCTCTGTTAAAATGGCAACGCAAATCATAAATTAATTAGGAAAGAAGTAATAACTTGTTAGAACAACGGTTTGGAAAGTCGTGAAAAATTAAGCAAGGCTCAGCCATGTATCAATGTCATTTTTTTTCCTAAGTTTTAGTTGCTTCTATTGAATATTTAATAAATATGTAAAAGAATTGCAGGTTATAAAACTTCAATAATATAATAAAATTTAATTTAATGATTGATTATGTATTGATAAAATTAATTCAATGTGCATTTATTGACATATAACAAAATTATAGGATTTTTATACAAAAATCTATGCCATAAAATGTAATCTTCAATCCCACATTAAAAAAATATATGGATAAAAAATGATATACATGTAAAAATTTAAATTTAAATTTGTGAGATATTTTTTGTAAGATAAAATCGTAAAACTTTCGGATTAAAACGAACAATATTTCGTAGATTGAGTGTGAATCTGCATAAATGGTATCAAAATAATCACTAATCAGTAATCGTGAGAGTCATTAAATACTACACGATGAGATCGTGAGAGTCATGGTTGGACTCGACTTGACAAGAAAGTCAAGTTTTAAAGATAAAAAAATTATAACACCTTCAATCTCATATTGAAAAAATATATGAATTTTTATGATAAATCGTGAAACCTCTAAATCAAAAGGAATAATATTTAATAGATTGGGTGTGAATCTCCGTACAAAATCTTATAAAAAAAATTTGAGAATTTTTTGAATAAAGAAAGAGAGTTCACCCGTAGGATGTTTTTGTATATTTTAGAAATAAGAAAAGTTTTATTTAAAATCAAATAAATGTTGGACCTTAATTATAAAGGGATTATCATTCAAATACTTAAATAGTAAAGTTTTTCAAATTTACAAAAGGATTTAAAAGGTTGATATATACTAATTGACGATATATTTTAAAAATAAATTATTTAATTTGTAAATAAATGTTATAATAGTAATATAAATTCACTTTGACTTATATTAATAAAAAAACCCTTTTTAATTAAGTTTCATCTCGTGAGATTGTAATCCAACTCAATTTATATTAATTTTATTTGATTGGCTTATCTATTAGTAACTTTTAGTGTGAATATACACTATTTGTATTGAAAATATTTGACTGTTTTTATAATTTTTACTTGTAATATAATCTTTAAGATATATCTAAAGATATATTTTAATAGATAAAGATAGTTTTTTTTAGTTGAAAAGAAGTTTTGGATAATTAAAAAATTTTCAAATAAATATATTTTAAAAAGATTTGAATAAACAATGATTTTTTAAAATAAATTTATTTAATCTATAAATAAAAAATAAGATTTAATCTTATTTATTTAAATAAAATCTTACAAAAAAATAATAATTTTATCTATTCAATTATTTTAAATCTAAATTAATTATTCATTTAACTTTTGAAAATTTTAGATAATACAATAATTTTTGAAATATATTTTTTTGATAAATAATCTAAAATTAAAAAAATCTTTTATATTATTATAAAATTTTTTAAACTATTTATCCATTTGAAATATCCTATAAATTTATTCAATAAATGTGTCAAATTGGTATATAATAAAAATATTATGATGATATACCTATAAAGATAATTATAAAAGAGATAACGTAGTATTATTTAAACAGTGATTATTACACAGAGAAGGCTAGATGGCATGATCAAACAGGCACACATGCTAACGACAGAAAGCAATCACAATTCACAAGAAAAAACCACTGATCAATACTTCAGATTACTTGTAGGGTAGTTGCTCGATCACAGGTTATTTCCGCTCAAACAAGACTAAATGCGAAGAGAGAGTACAGGAAATATATCCCAATGTGCGATAAAGTGGAATGTGATGAGATGAAAGGGTTTTGATGATGGGTCAATTTATAAGTGATGGTGGCCAAAATTAGGCAATGAAGACTTGCAAGACGTGGGTTGCAGTTGCACATGATAAAGGCTTTGGCGATGGACGGTGGGGATATGTGACTTTCATGATCATGGTCGTATATATATATATATTTTTTTGGCAAAATCATGGTCATATTGTTGATTAATTGAGTTTCCAATTATAAAAATTATATTGTTGATAATATATTAAACATTATAAAATTTGGGTTTTTATTATATTTAACTTAATTCTCACAAAAAGTTCTTTTTTGTGTTATCACTATTGAAAAGTATATGATAATTTTTCAAAAACACCAAAAAAAAAAAAAAAGAGATATTTGAAAGTCTTGCCATGTTGTATTTTTCATTGCCTTGCATAAATAATGTAAGAAACACTTCAAAAATAGTCATCTATCATACGAGAACAATCTTAACCACATGATCGATCCTTTGGATATATGCCTCAAAGAACTTATAATTTTTTAATATATAGATAAAATCATGAAATAATTTATAGAATAATTGTTACTTGTTACTGCATATAAATATATAATACACTTTTTGCCAAATATATACCGGAAAATGCGTAATAAATCAATATATATAGATATAAATATAAAATTATTTATATATATAGAAAAACTTATTAAGTGCAGTTTGATTTTAAATTTGTCAAGTACTTTGACAATTGGATTTCATATCCATAACTACGCAATGTCCAGGTAGGCAGCCTACCGACAGCTGAATTTGCCTTAAAATTTGATGATATCATTTGTTAATAAATAAATATTAAATTTTAAAATAAATATATATAAATTAATATTTAAAAAATTTATTTATTAATAAAATAATATCATTTGATTCTTTTTATAAATGAGATGATATTATTTATTAATAATTTATAAAATTTATATACTAATAATATATCAAATATTAATTTTAAAAAGAATTATATAAATTAATTAGATTATATCTTTTTTTTTCAAAATTAATAATCCTTTGCTTGAGAATATATCCAAGGAAGGTAGCAACTGGAACGGATAAACTCATACTATAACATTGCAACAAAGATAGAATGAATGGATAATAAATTATATGACACTTCACCAAAGAATTAGATAATCCATGTGGCATTAAAAACAAAACTAATTGTATTTATGGCATATAGATATGCCATGTCTATGATATGCCGAGTTTGTGGCAGACCAAAGTAATAATTTAACATGACAGAAAATTTCATTTTTCAACTGGTCATTAAGGGATGGCCCCATGAAGTTAAGGCTGAAATTGCCCCACGAGGAAGATATACTTGATACTGGTAGTGTTGAATGGCAGTTGGGAACTTGTGATAGTTTGGATAATTTTTGTTATTTGTAATTATAGATATTTAATTTTATTTGAGGCAGTTGGGAACTTGTGATAGTGTGGATAATATTTGTTATTTGTAATTATAGATATTTAATTTTATTTGAATATATTTTAA